TATTTTTAAGGCTAAATTGGAAAATAACACCACAAAAAAAGCCACGATTTTGATTTTAGGCTACGTTTAGTTCAACTTATTTAAGTTGATGTCAACTTATTTTAGAGATAATCAAATCAAATAATAACTTACTTTTTAATTTGCGATTATTTATCGTTGCATATTTTTATTGTCGTAATTTAAAAATTATGAAAATCTCATATGTGAAAATTTTATATTAATACAAATCTAATGACATCCCACTCAATTCAATGAATTTTTTATACTTCCTCCAATTTTCTTTTATTGAACCATAAAGACTTTTACACTATTCACATAACCATGTTTTGTGATTTATCCGTAACGTAAAATATAGTTATGTGGTATCTAGTTAGGTTCGTCTCGAAATCTACTTTTCAAATATCAAATATTATAATTTTTACAAAAGTATAATTAAAAATACTAATAGTTAAAGTAATGTACGCATTGACAAGCATGAAATCACTCATGGTGCAATAAAAAAGAAACGGAGGAAGTATTACAAATTAGTGTACAAATTAGGTCTAACTTTTGTCAAATCTAAAAATCAGATTAAAAAAATTTAGTTTAGATAAAATCATATGAACTAAAAATAGCCTAGCTTCACCTTTGGCGTCTTTATAATCCTCAATCTTTTCCCTTTTCACTAACCAGCTTTATATTCTCACTAAATCAAAGTCTCACTCTTCATTCCTTTTTTTTAAACTTACAAGAAGGGGCGTGATCAAGCAATAACAACCAATCATGAATAATCAAGCACTGTAATAATTAACACAACAATCATCATCATAATAATAACATCAAAACGTTATTAGTAAGATCCTAGACATGATACTAGACAAATTAATAACAAACTCTAGCATGTCACTAATAATCATAATCAAAGCATTATCCTAAACATGATACTAGAAACATGACATTAGAAATATTAATTAACACCCTAAACATGATACTAGGAATCAAAATCAACATCTTAACATGATACTAGAAATGAAAATAATATTCTAAGCATGATTTCTATCAAAAGAACAATTAAGTAATCGAATTACTTACTTTGATGTCTCGTATCTATTTATATCAAGACAATACACACGTTAGTAAATTTCAAGAAAGATGAAATCAAATAAATCAAATAAGAATTGAAATATAGATTTGGGACCAAACCCCCTCAGAACTATCAACCTTTCACGTCGAGGTCGAAGGCAACTTCGAGGTTGGCTGGGAGTATTCGAAGCTCGTGAAGGAGGTATGGTATTTGATTAGGGAAAAGTATTAAGGATGTGGATTAGGACGTGTAGAACATGAAGAAAAGAGAGAGAGAATATCACTACAAGAAAAAGGCTAGATTCCGACGGACACAAAATTCCGTCGGAAATACTGTATATTTCGGCGGATTTTTATTCCGTCGGAAAGTTCCGACGGATTTCCTACGGAATAAAAATCCCTCGGAATTTTTGGGCTTTCCGACGGAATATTTCGTCGGAAAATATATTTTCCGACGGAAATATAATCCGTCGGAAGTGTCCGACGGATTTTTCCGTTGATCCAATGACTTTCCGACAGAATTAAAATCTGTCGGAAATTTCCGACGGAATATTCCGTCGGAAAATTAAGTTTTTATTTAAAAAAAAAACAAACCCTTACATATTTGTGGAATAAAAAAATAAAAAAAAATAAAAAAAATAAAAAAAAACTTAACCCTAAAACCGGTTCCCCTCCCCCAACCCTATTCAATTCTCTTTCCTCTCCTCCTCTCTCTCCGCCTCTCTGCTTCTCTTTCTCTCTCCTCTCTTCTTCTCTTTCCCCTTCTCTTTTTCTCATTCTCCTTCTCCTCCTTCTCTCCTCTTCTTCCTCATTTCTTTCTCCTTCTCCTCTTTCTCCTTCTTTCTTTGTATTCATCAACATCAACAACGAACCGCAACAACAACAACTGGAACAACAACAACCACAACATCAACAACGAACCGCAACAAAAACACCTTCAACCGTTCGTTCAAGCAAATTTGTTCATTGTTCAAGCAAATTCAAGTTTCAAATTCAAGCAAATTCGTTCGTTGTTTTTACTTTTTGTAATTTTTTTTGTTAATTTGCATAGATCTGTTATTTTTGGTTTCGATTTGTATTTGTTCATTTGCTTAATGTGTATGGATTTGTTTTGGTTTCAATTTATTTTGTTTCGAGTATAATTTTGTGATCTTTATTGGTTTAAATTGGCTTAGATATGTTTTTTTTTCAAAAATTTTCGTTTTTTTAATTATTTTTTTTCCCGATTTGGGCTGGGTGGTTCAGTTGGGTGGGGTGGTTACGGTGGGTGATTACGGTGTGGGCTGGGTGGGGTGGGTGGAAGGTGGTTACGGTGTGGGTTGGGTGGGGTGGGTGGTTGCGGTGGGTGATTACGGTGTGGGCTGGGTGGGGTGGGTGGAAGGTGGTTACGGTGTGGGTTGGGTGGGGTGGGTGGAAGGTGGTTATGGTGTAGGGTGGGTTGGGTGGTTACGGTGGGTGGGCTGGGTGGAATGGGGATCTAGTTTGTTACGGGGTGGGGTGGGTGTGGGTGTGGGTGGGGGTTGTGGGGCGTGGGGCAGGGGGCAGGGCAGGGGGCAGGGCAGGGGGTGGTGGGCTGGGCTGGTGGTGGTGGGGGGGTGGCTTTTTTTTTTATTCAATTTTCCGACGGAAATTTCCGTCGAAAACAGTATATTCCGACGAAAATTTCCGTCGGAATATTCCCCTTCCGACGGAATATTCCGTCGGAATCCACTTCAGCTCCGACGGAAAATTCCGTCGGAACTTTGCGACGGAATTTCGTTTAAAGTCAAAACTAGCTTCGATAGAATATATTCCGTCGGAAAAGTGGCTTCCGACGGAATTTCCCTCGGAAAACGTCGAATTTCCGACAAGGGCTGTTCCGAGAGACAGTTTCCGACGGAAGGCAGTTTTTCGACGGATTTTACCCTGTTTCCGACGGAAAAATTCCGTCGGAATTCAGCTGTTTTCTTGTAGTGTATTAGAGAGGGGATTAGATGATGATTGTTGGTGATTGAAAACAGGGTGAAACGACCTCTATTTATAAGGAAAAAAGAGGGTCGAAGGATCAGATTAGAGTCAGAATCCGACTCGGAGTAAAACGCTTCTCATCGCAACGCGATTGCTGTCGCTCAGCGATGGTTTTGGAAAGATAGGATTTGTACGAAATCCGATTTCCAATCGGATTGGGTTAATCAAATTTCCGTACGTATTCTAATTTGACCGGGATCAGGATCATTGAAAAACATATGTTTTATCCGATGTAAAATTCTTAAATCTTTACCTTTTCGAAAACAGGATAAATTAGAACCTTCTAGAGGATTCTAGAAGCTCACAATAATTCCTAATGGATTTAGGATCGAAAACAACCTTCTAGATGATTCTAGAAACTTGTAATAAATCCTAATTAGTTTAGGAATGAGGTTAAGGTTAAAGGACCCTCCATATGATCATTGGGTCGCAGGTAAGGCTTTGTTCGGGCTCGGTTTAGTATTTTGGCCATAACTTCTTCGTTATAAGTTGGATTTGGGCTTATAATATATTGTTGGAATACTCTTTTCAAACCCCATCCAACTACATAATAATTGGACCAGGATTATGGACCAAAATAATCAGGTTTGGACGTTTTATAAAGAGGACACGAAATGAATGATTTTCAAAGACATGAAATAAATGACTTTGGATTAAAACATTTAAGGAAAGGTTAGAAGTGGTCAAGGCTAAAGGGAAATTCACAAGACTCTTCAACCCTTCACCTAACTCGATAATCAAAGACATAAAATGTATTCATCACTGTGTTTGGTTTTTGGGGAGACACAATCAGGTGTCTACACCTTCTTATCTACATTTGATCAAGTGTTATATTTTTCTTTTATGGAAAAAAACTACTACGATATTTTAATATTACGTCTCTCTTAGTCTCTTCTCTAATGATCCTCACTCAAATCCACTACTACTTTTTTAAAATTATTTATTTCTCTCACATTTATTAATTTTGAATAAAATATTAACCTCCACTATCTTTACTTTACAATATTTTAATCAAAAAAATTGAGTGAGTCCAATATATGTGTCATTAATAATCTAATATCTGACATTAATAATCTAATATTCGACATTAATAATTTAATACCTGACATTAGATTATAAATGTCAGATATTAGATTAGAAATGTCAGATATTAGATTTCTCATGTTAGATATTAGATTATTAATGTCAGATATTAGATTATTAATGTCATATATATTGGACTCACGGTGAGTTCGGTCTCACGCAAAACATTTTCTTTTTTAATACTTTATTACTATACCTCACTTCCACTTACCTAAGTCAATTAAATAAAATTATATGTTGGTGAAAATGTAACACTTAAAAAACAAAGGAAGTATTATTTTTTTTATTTGCACCCACGTGATATGATTGATCTACATTATCATTCATTAATCTTCCTTTACCTCAAAAATAAAGGAAAATCATATGGATCAAATAATTTTAAAACTATTTATAACAAATTGGGCCAACTTACATACATTCTTCTTCCTAGGGAAAGTGCAACAAGTTTATTAAACTCTCCATAACATCTCATCTCTAATAAGAACCCAATTTACAACCACAAGATCTAATCTACATAATAACAAAACCTTGTAAAAGAGGCAACGTAATAAACATTATACACAAAGATAAGGTCCACGTCAAGTAGACCCCACACACCCTCTCCCTCTAATATTGACTACTCAACCTCTTTTTTATTAAACAGTTCTCTCTTCTACAATCATAACTATGCATGTTCCTCACGCCACCTTCCCCCTCGCGTCTTCCCGCCTTTTCCTCTACGTTTGCTTCCTGATAAAATCTTCAATATTATTATTGGATAATTACCTTTTTAAGTTCTATAGTAATTGCAACACTTTGATAAAATGTGTGTTCTTTTTACCTGATTTCACTTACAATAAGTTTTGTATAAGGCGGATATACGTTAATTTTATGGTAAACAAGTCTCGTTTTATTTTTTTTCATTTATTTATTATTTTATTTAACTTTTCTATAATTAATTTGTATTTGTTAACTTGAAATAAACTTAAAATAAAAATTAACTTGAAATAAGTCGAACAAAAAAAGATAATCGACAGATGATGTATAATTACGGAGTATTAATTTGAATAAAATTCAACTTCGCTTTTTCCCTTTTTGCCCCCACCACAACACAGCAGCAGTCAGCCCCTCCTTTCTTCTTTCTTCTTTCTTCTTCCTTGTTCCCTTTTCCCTCTTCTTCGTCATTACCAGATAAGCTTCCCCCAAAACTTTCTCTCTCCTCAAAAACTCCCACCTTTTTTCTCCCTAACCCCACCTCTCCACCTGTAACACCGATTTTCCCTCTAACTTCACCATTATCCAATTACCTCGATTTTAGCACTTTTTCCCCAATATATCTAGGGTTTTTAATTTTTTTTTCTAAAATTAAATTCAATTCCAATTTTGGGTTTTTCTTTCTTTTTTTTTTTTTTTTTTGAATTTTCAATATGATGAGAAGACAAGATCATCAACACCACCATCATCAACCTCAATCTAGGGTTTTATACGAATTATCTTCACTCGTACTCAACATCCTACGATCCCCTCCATCACCATCATCGCTCAATTTCTCCGACCATAATCTCTACTCTGCGCCGCCGTCGTCTTCGTCGTCGGCGCCGGCGGTTAGGGTTCCTCCACAGATAACGCCGGCGGGTTTTGCGTCGTTGATGTTAGGAATTTCTCTGGCTTTGATGCTCTGTGGATCGGTCACCTTCTTCATTGGTTTCATGTTGTTACCTTGGGTTATTGGGCTTGTTATGGTCTTCTATTTTGTGGGTTTGGTTACCAGTATTTCGGTTTTGGGTCGGACTTTTCTCTGTTACGCCACCTCTGCTCCGCCTTCTTCTCCGTCTTCCCCTCGGAAGGATATTCCTGGTATATTTTCTTATCATCATATTGATTTGCATAATTAATTTCATGATTTTTTTTTTGTCCTTTAAAAATTAATTTTGCTGGCGGTAATTGTTGTATTTCTTGGTCCTGTTTATGTTTGTATTGGAAATTTATGATTTTGATTGCATAATGATAATCATAATACGGAGTAATTATATTTGTAATAATAATTTTTAATGATTAAGGGTTATTAAGTTTAAATAATGGCATTAAATAGATCTCGAAATTGGTGTTTAGTTTAGGAATTTATGACACAACCACTCATTGGATCTGTATTTTTTAATGCGGAGGGTTTTTACTTTTAGCTTATTATATATTTGGCCTTTAGCGCTACATATATCATTATCCTACGGCGTTTTGTAGTTTTGGGTGTTAGGATACGAACCTGGATCATTGATGAGACCTTGGCATTGGCAGGATTTATATTTCACGGCGTTTGGATTAATTTGGAGTATTCGGCTAAGTTGGGCTATATTTGGACCTTTGATGAGACTTTGTCATTGGTGGGATCCGTATTTATGTAGGAAATTTATGTTCGTTACGGATTATTCTAGAGTTGGTTAGATTTGAGAATGATCATGATTCGAAAATGGTTGAATTTGTGTGTATATGAATTGCATTTTGTTGGTTTAATGTGATTGCCTGATTGGTAGTCCTTTTAAGTGATGGTTAACACGTGTGTTCCTGCTTATGGTGGTGAAGAAACAAAAAAAGGCATTTTGACTTTGTATTAGCATGTTTCATGTGTTTGATAAACAGGGAAATGTTTAGGGATGAATCATGGGCTTGTACTATTGTACTAATATATTTTTATAATGAGTAATTCAGTGATTAGGAATTTGAGTTGGTCTCTAGTAATTCGTATATAACAATAATAACATAAAATACAAGTTTATTCTTTGGAGGTTGAATACATGTAGTTGCTTGTTGGTATTTTTCTTGACTGGCAAACTGTGACAAGAGTGTAGACTTATTTAATCAAAAGCCTTGTCCTGTTTCCCATCATTGTCATCTGAACAACCATGTATTAATTAGTTGGTAATTGTCATCATCTGGATTCCAGAGTTCATTTAACCACATGCCCCCCCCCCCTCTTTTTTTGTGGGAATCTTGAAATTTGTGCTCATTTTGATCTTATGCTACAATTTTAAATAATGTACTGCATGACCTTAGTTTTTGAATGAAGGGTTTACGACTTTACGGGTCTGAACTTGTATCCTTGAGGTTAATTATTCTACATATAGTTACATTCCCAGGTTAACACGGTCTTATTATTGCTTTATAAACTTTCCCTTCATGTTGGTGGTTTAGGACACCACAATAAGACAACACTAACCTCTGTTTTCAATGTTCTGGTTTGTGGGGCAATGTGCCTATTTAGCGAAGCTTTGGTGCTATATTGTTCTAGACCTAGTAGTGTATTCGTTTGATGAAGTCCTTACTCCTGGTAAATGTGCTGATGAACTAATATGCTAGTTAGTCTTCATCAAATGTAGTCACAGTTATGGTTTTTATTAATATAACGTCAATTTTTCCTAGATTGCTATTTGATTGCTGATTTTAGATTCATCTTTTATATATGTGGAGGGTAGAATTTTCTAAGAGTATATATATTTGTTTATGCTTCGTTGGCTTGCCTTATGTAGCTGATGATTGATGCTGCAGATCTCACGAGCTGTCACACAGATATCATATTCTCAAGCGTTTAGAAGTTTGCTTTTTAGAATGCAAAAAATGGAAAATTATTAGTCATTCAATGATATGTGCTGCAGATCTCACAACGTCACAAACTTTATCAAATGTGTCATAATACATCCACTTGTCATGTATATTGTGCAACTAATTGAAGCTTAGCTTCTAACAACCCCAGTATTGATTAAACAAATAAAGTAATCAATAATTGTCTATGATTGTGTTGGTTGAGTTCTGTTTGTTTTAATGTTGAGCAATCAGTATGAAGCAGTGATTTATACTTTGTATGTAATTTGTGGATTCATGCTGTATTTATTTGATGATGTTGACTATTAGTATTGTCATTTTTGAGTTTCCTTGACATCTACAATAATATTGGAAAAAAAAAAAATAACATTTGTTCCCTGTAATCTGTATTAATGCAGCCTGGAAATTCATGTAAAGATGGCTAGGATATTGCGGAGGTACAGAGGCACTATTGCATCAATAGAGAAGGTGGGCATTCGTAATCCATAGCTTCTCTTTTGATATACAATGGAATTGCTATGAGCTGAAAGCTATTGGATTGTGGTCTGCGGGTAACTGGCTTTAAAGATTGTTATAGAACTTGTGGATATGTGGCTTCTTCATTCAGTTGTTTGGGGGGGGGGGGGTGGTTTGGGGACAAATTTGTTTTTAGGTTATGACAGTTGCCTACTGCAGTGGATATTATAGTAATGTAGAGAACATGAAGGTTCTTTTGTGTTGAAATTATTATTTTCATATCATGACCATGCTGCTCTCTATGATGATCCCAAATGTGTAATTTTAAAGCCATGGGGCATTGTTATATCTGTATATGGCTTCCGGATCTTATTTCCGATATTCTTTAAGAAAAATGGAGAACACGGTTACAGAATAAAAGAATGCAATGAAAGCATATATTTAAATAAAACCGTGTTTTATACTGGGTCATAGCTGTCATTATTGCAGTGATGTTAGAGGTGATCTTTGTATGGCCGGTCTGATTCAGGCCAGGCTGCACTGCCCATTTCGGCCTGATGCTTTAGGCTGATAAGGCCTGGTTTTTGGTCTTGGCTCGGGCCATGATCAACTCTAATTTTATTCAAGCCATTCTTCGGTTGCTCTGTAACTTGGATCATGTGATCGTTGTTGTATTAGCAGAGTTCGTCTGCCTGACATTGTTGGCCTGTCTCTGTGATCACAGTGTTAATGTAATATTGATACGATTACATTGCTGCAAACAAGGGACAATTATTGTCCTGCGTGATTCCCGTGTCTATTAGTTGGAAGGACCCAGAGAAACATAGAAATACTCTTATGTAGGTTAGATAATACTCCGTACTGTATTAGAAAGCAATAAAATATCAAATAATTGTACCCCTCTTCGAAAATACTTCGTAGTTGTTTCACTGTTTTAACCTTTAATTAACTAAACGACATAGAATCATAAAATTAATTCTTTGTTGTTTTTGGTGCAGTAATATGATTATGATTAGAAAGTCATATAATTTTACTCCATACCTTTTGAATAATAATTGTATTTTCTATTTTTATCACTACCAATACCCTGGTGAGAGAAGATGAAAGAAAGACTTTTATTCGTGAAACTAAAATTGATACTCAAATAGTTTACCACCTTCTTAGATTCTGCTAAGCTTCTACCAAGTTTAAAAAAAAAAACAAATCTGCTGCTAACAATGAATAGAGAAATCTACCTATGGGCAAGAGGGAGAAAATGAGAACGAATGAAGGAAGAAAACAGGTTTTACCCGTTAACTAGAGGGAGTAAGTTTACTAAATAATCCTTGTCAGCTCACTTAAAAGTACATTATTACCCGTTAATGTTTATTAAGGTGATAAACTTGTATTTTCTCGATACCCTGGTATATTATAATTTTTGTATAAGAAAGATGGCAACCTTGAGACTGTGAAATAGCTTTGTATTTTACATAATGAGACTATTACTATTTAGACATAGGGAGAAAAATTAACATCATCATAATACTCCTGAGAAAAGAATTAAATAACTGACATTAACATTGATCACATACTTTCGCAAAACATGTACATCGTATAATTTAGCTAATTACACTTCATAAATATTGTATGTAGTTGTCACGTGCAATAGTGCATGATACATACTTGTGTTGATAAATAAGGACACTCAAAACCACAAGGAACCAAAACAACCAAACTTACAATTTGAACACCAAAAATTGTAAATGAATAACACAATTAGTAACAAGATATAATTAATTAAGCTGAAGGCTTAATAATATAACTAGCCAGTGTAGATATGAACACCAATAGCAATAAGGAAGATAGTAATGAGACCAAAGTAGATTATGGTATGAACAAGTATGGAAATGCCGCTTGTCTGCAAGTTAGCAAACTCCACCATCCTTCCCCTCCCTGGAATCTGACATAGCAACCCCGGCGATAGCAACACGAATAACACCAACGCGATCACGACCGGCCCCCAATCCGCCATTCTCACACACTGTACTCTCTCTTAGCTTGCTCTAGGAATGTACGTACTAGAGTTACCAATTTAAACTTCTCTAGTGTTTTTATATTAGTAGTTGCTGGTAATTAGCGTGTTTGGCATGCATAGCATATGTGGTAGCAAAGAAAGGAATGTGACCAATTAAAGATGTCTTAGTCATCAAGGCTTTAATAGATTCCAAATTGTTAATTACAACGTTGCATTACTATTATTATTATTATGGTATACAGATAATCGTTCAATAATGTAACTTTGTTTTTATGTTTTCTTTTTGTCTTTTTGTCTTTTCTTTTCTTTTTTTTTTTTTTTTTTTTTTTTTGGTTTGTTTGTTTGTAATAAGGTTGATCTTCAAGATCTTTGAGAGGGAGATATTGAAACTATAGAAAGGCTGGGTATAATTGTAGAGAAAATGTAGAAATTATAGATGGATCACAAATCTAAATTTTTCCACACCTATTTGTAATTTATAATGCTTCTTATATTATTCGAAAATTGTAGAAAAAAAATGTTAAATTTGTAGCCTCAAAGATAGGAAATACGAGTAATATAGTCCCACTCGTCACTTTGTCATAAAAGTAAAAGCACTAGTAATATCTATAAGATTGTATTCAAAAAAAAAAAAAAAAAAAAAAAAGTAATATCTATAAGGAAATTGGTTTTAACTAATAATCAGTCTATTCCGTACTTAAATGCATTTATCACGAATAGAAAGTTTTTTTCTCTACCTTTTCTCTCTTTTTCTTGGTGCTAATTGTAAATGCACAATCAATATGACTAAGGATATATGAAGTATTTTGCAAGAGAATAAAATACCGTATGCACTTGGAGTCATGCATGTTTATCTAAATGGCAAGATCATAGAGTAAAATTTTAGTTTATATTCAGAAATTATACCGCTAAAATTTTATGATGAGAATTAAATAATGATTAGACGTTTAAACGCATCTTTTAATAGATTAAGCTAATTGATAATACTTCATGTTTTTATTATCATACATTCATATATATGGACTCTCAAAATTTGAATGGGTAATTATATATGTACAAGTAATTCTTTTGTACATAATCTAACTCAATGAGTTTAAACTACTACCTAATAATTGTAGCATCAAAACATTTAGCATCAAGTTTAGGTGCATTTAATTTTTGAGATTTGATTAATCGCCTTTGCTATCCATTCCATTAAAATATGCATTGGTAGCAGGTCATATCTTTGAGTACTAGTTCAAATTCGTGGGGCTTTTCTACCATTGGATAATTAGCTATGAGAGGGAAAGCCAACAAAATTATAATGACTATAAATTGCCGTAATAAAAGCCAACAATAAACATGTACAAATTTAAAATAACTAGAAAACAATGACAAATGGTTCTTTAATTAATTCGATAAATAACAAAAGAGACACACTCAATGACTCTGAACCACCACTTTATTACATCCTCTTAAAATTTCGTATATTTTTCCAACATACTATAATAATACGTAAAAAGAGCGGTTTTTTCAATTTAAAATAGAAATTAATACTGCAATAAAACTCGACCGACCTCCCAAAACAAAGAAAATAAAATAAAGATAGGAACAATATGGGTTGAATGCAATGTAATTGATCTTGATCAATTAACCCCAATACATGTGAATTCCAAGGGCAATCAAGAAGATACAAATAAGGCCAAAGTATAGAAGAGCATGGATCAAAATAGCTGCCCCACCAGTACGGAAGCTCCCAAACTCAATGCACCTTTTGCCACCTGGCACTTGAAACAGCAACCCTGGTGAAAGAAGAACAAACAAGATTGTTGCAATAAACACAGGGCCCCAATCATGACCATGCTTGTGCCCCATTTTTATTTTTTTTAGCAAAATTATGTAATTTATTTATTTAATTGGGTTTAATTTGCTGATAAAATTGGTTTTTATAAATTGTGGGATGATTATGAATAGAAGAATGAAGGGGTTTAAGTAATGGTAGAGAACTTTGTTAAGACGTAAAGAAGATTACAAATTTAGCAATGAGGAGATTTTATGGAGCAAGTTATCTTTGATTCACTGTTGCCGCCCCACTTGCCAAATCTGTCACATTGCATGCATGAAATGATGAAAACTATGGTATATGTCATTTAGGAGAAAAAAAAACAATTAAGCTACCATTGCAAAGAATGGAAGGTCCTAAATTGTCTCAACCTCGAACTTTATGATTTTTGAAAAGCATTGTTTATTTATTTTTATTTATGTACAGATTAAAAATTACTTGTATGATGTAGCGATAATTTGATATGTTCTCTTCAAAGACTTAAATTATGTATAATTGATCGTAAAATAAGTTTAAGGTAACTTGTTTATGTTGGAATTATTTCCAACTTTAATGTTATGTATGTGATTTATCTCATATGGATAAAAATAAAAAGGATGTGAGTTGATTATAGTGGGCTAAGTGGTGCATAGACTTAGCACTTGGCCACTTGACACGAGCACGAGAAAGTAAGTCCAATACAAGCATTTGTTTTTCGGATCATATATGCAAATGAAGAAATATCAATACCCATACAAAAGCAAACAAAATTACAATTAATACCCATACAAAAACAAAAAAAAAAAAATTTATATTGTAGCCGTGGTCCGTGGATAGAAAGAAACCTCTAAAAGCTAAACAAAATGGCAAATTTTTATAAACAGAAGCCAAAAAAAAAAAAAAAAACTGCAAATGAAAGGCGCTGAAAGAAGATTTGAGAGAGAGGAGAAGGCTGGAGGTCTGCAGTCAAATGCCGCCATTTTTACCAATAAAAACTCTGCAATGGTGAAACTCTCTGGTTCCTTGCCACTTTCGCCTCAGGCAGGGTCTGAGAATGCTCACTAAATAATGCCAGAGAAAATGGTTCTATGATAAGTCTGGATTTGAAATTCTGAAAAACAATGATTAGTTGTTCTAAGAGGAAAATGATGGTAGCATAATCTGCGATTACTATGTACTAGTTCTACATTTTGAAGATCAGAAAATCAGAACCTTAAGAAAATACACCAAGTACATATCTAGACTTTAGTTGCCAACATTTTATTCTATCATTCTTTATGCTTCCGACTAATAAATTAAGTTAAGAAGGTTACCAGTACACACATCTCTACTTTCTCCCATCTCTTGCATCTTGAACACTTAAGAACAATCCTCTATTTGCATGCCAAGCTGATAAGCACGATCAGCATCCTCAATTGATGCTCCTATAACAAGTGGATCAAGCGTTAAATCTTCTTTCAGCCATTTGTATGTTCCAAAATCATGAGCTACACATTTTGTCGGTTTTAAGATCTATTGCTTGGGATATTTCTGCACCTCTCATCCCAAGATAACATGCAAACTGAACATAGGAAGACAATACGAGACTAATTTCAAAGGTTGCACTCACAACAGCCACTTTTCCCTTAATATGAGCCCATCATGCAATTACTGCTGCATTTTCAAACCCGCCAACAACACTTGGCTTAATCACCTAACAGAAGAAAAAACGGCAATCTTAGCAGAGAAGTGTTACCAAAGCAAATTCTTATCAGTGTATTCAGTAACATCTCTTACATGCTAATAGCAAAAAATCATTAAACTTTTGAGCTTTGTTATTTTGGACAAGGAGAAAGAAAAAAGTAGCTACAACTCTACAAGTAGGAAAGGCTGAAATTTCGGGGCCAAGATACAGCGGCAAGTTAAGAATCCTGTATCAGTCATCAAGAACCACCACAAGTTTACCACAAACATGATCATCTTAGGTAACTGCATCTAATCTTTGTTGATTTCAAAATTTATGTGCCTAAATCTAGCAAAAGATTGTTGAGGTGAAAATTAGTCTATAAGAAGCTAGGTAATATAATGAAAGATGATGAAAATATGGTGATAGCTTATTGTGAACCAATTCAGTGATAGAGAGGAAAAAACCACTGAAGCACTTGCAAGTTTGTAGCGTAATGAAAAACAAAACATTAGTGCAATTAGGCTGAATATACAAGAGCCACCGCTCCTGGATGCGTGAATCTGGCCAAATTCCTTGAATGTTGTCTATAGTTTCATCAAATGCAACTGGCAAGCCAGTATCTTCACAGAACCTCACAATTCCTTCTTCACACTGTACAGGTTCCTAAATAAGTGAAAATATAATGTTAAAACAACAATAAATTCCAACCCAGGGTAGGTTTAACTTGACCAAAGTGTTTTACTTCTCTACAATGTAAAGATCTGTGTTCATATCATCCAACCAAAAATCACAATCAAGTTAAGTTGCAATAAGTTCCTTGATCTTCAATCTTAAAATTTAAACTTCCCCTGTTCTTAATTGTTTAACTCCACTTACTTTCAATGTGGTCAAAATAAAACAACAAGTTTGACCGTATTGTACGATTCGTATAAAAAAAAAAAAAAAAAAAAAAAAAAACCTAGTACGTAGGATCTAGTTAGGAGTAATGTCAATGTAATTTTTTTAACTTTTAATCATTTCCACTAAGTAGTTAAAGACATTAATGATCAAGGATGTGTATTGAAATTTGGAAAAATCAGTCAAGTCGAACTTTCAGAGAAGGTTGCAATAAAATACAGATCAATCAAGCAACAGAAAAACCATATCTCTTCCACCTTTCAGCATTTTATAAAAAGATTGCAATAAAATAGAAGCGTATGAGATTTATAGAGGAAACACTGCAAACTCAGTGCTTAAAAGTGTGTATCTTTTACCCACAAACAAACAAACAACAACATGATTTGGGGTCATCTAACATGAATCGTCATAAAGAACCGTCCGATATAGAAAAAGGGACATAACAAGATAATCTTTTACCCACAAACAAGCAAGAATATTTTTTATCACATGAAACAGATAACAGAATTAAGAATCTATTAGGCATACCTCAATTGGCTCAATATATTGTAAGCCACAATCCTTAACATGATAGCATTTTCATAGGTCCATTTACGGCTTAGCATCAACACGAAGTTCACCCCAGCACCAATATTTATTCTTATTTCATTAAAAGCTGCAGCATCTTCCATTATATCATCTCTGCGACCTACCTGTGAGAATACACAACAGTCATATCAGGTCTTAGAAACTGCAGATTAAGCTGCAAGTCACAGCTTTGAGCCAACATAAGTCAGTAAAGATAAATAATAACTAATATACTATTCCTTAAATGTTCAACTCCTTCAACCATTTTGAAAACTCCTACAAACTTATCAAAAACACCTCAAAACAATCTATTACTCTATACTACAGCATTATATTTTATGGAGGGAATTTTCCCTCCTAAATTCTGCTTTATTCTTTCTTTCTTTTTTATTTTTTTTTATTTTTATAGTTTTTTTTACATACTTGTATATATTAATTTTCCTAAGAGCATTATTATCTAATTATTTATTATTATGCACATTTTCTTACACACTTCAAATTAAATAATTAACAAACTTCATTATTTATTATTTATGGGTTGACTATTGACTTACATTTATATAGAGACTTCTATATTTCAATTACTTTTCTGTATTAATTTCATAAACCGAGCATTGGCTCGGGCATTATCTAGTTTTTACATCAAAATTGTATCTCTTATGACACCCAAATACCATCAAACTCATTTGTTTGTCCCTCTAAAATTAGGAACAAATATCTCAAATTTCATTGCATTACCTTTAATTTAATAGCACAAAATCCTTCTTCAACAAGAGCAAAGACAGTACTTGCAAATTCAAGTGGACCCCTGATAGTAACATTTACTTCCCAAACATTCTTATGGTTACTGTTTCAACCCTGCCAAAGTAAGTTCTCTTGGGTTTAGACTTTAGAGTTAAGCATCAAATACTGCTAAATGTGTGTAATCCACAGGCTCTTACAAGTTAGGAGTTGTGACGCTATTATAGCACAAGAAGTCATCTTACTTTTTAGTGTTTTTACATTTCAGAGGGAAGAAGTAGAAAATTTGGGACAACCAAAGGCTTCAAATTAAATTCGCTGTATGATGCATCTATGCTCACTAGCATGTCAAATGTAATGCATGGTTAAGTTTTTCTTGCCATTCAGCAAGGGATGCAAAATAAAAGAGTAAACAAAAATTTGTATTATAACGGTGATTGCTAGATATCTTACCGGAACTGCAGTAACTTTCCATATCCACAGAAAAGGACTCTCTCAACAGGGGAAGCTGATAGCAATTAGTAGCTCCTTTTAGGGCATGGAGAAGGAAACACATTTGTTCTTCCACATCTTGTAAATTTTCTTCATGCATTGCAAGAGGTGCAATCTGTTAATAAGATATACAAGACAATTTTTTTATTTTTTTTATTTTATTTTTTTTTTATTTTTATGATTTACCAGTAGCTTGCATATTCAGAAGAACACAACTTTCAATTCTATCACTTGGAATGCAATGGTTCATCATATATAAATCGAATACAATCATATAGCCAGTCACCTCGCCAAACCCATTACTTCCATCATTTAGAGTCAAAGCTAAAATGAAGCCTTGTCTAACATAATCTGATGGAATTCTGTCAACAGCAACTGAAGTTGGTGGAGCAGCAAGGCTGATTCTGAGACAACCATAGATGACTGTACATTAACTACTGAAAAAAAAAGAAAAGATAAAACCCCTTAACATTCTAGGCATTTGAAAATTCACCCATACAATGAGTACTCTAATTTGGTTAACTTGTATAAGAAATCATTTGCAGCAGATTCTGGAGGAGAACGTTGTGAAAAAGTCGTGTAAGCATGAGATGCTGGTTGAGCAGCATATTTCACAAGAAACTATAAGAAAGAGGTGATTGTCAAATACCTTTTGCTTCAGCTAGTTGGGCAATCAGTTGAAACACAGAATGACAAAAGTCATGAAACTAACCTATAAAATGCTGCATTACTGTTGATCGCACCTGAAACTTCTATGACATAATCAGCATCAGACTCTTGGGATGGTAGTAAAGCTTCATCCTTATTGTTCAAAACTGAGGGTAACATCTTCTGAGTTTTGTGGTCCTGAATATGACCAGGATAGCCTTGGAATTATGCATGGATAGCACTCCAAACATTCCACAATATAAAGCTTAAAAGCTTGCGTGCAAACTTAAATCAGAAAAGTAGTGCACCGGCTTTTACATGTCTCCTAGCTTAACAACCCCCCCCCCCCACCCAAAACCCACCCACACACACAGCAATAACACTAGCCAGAAGAAAATGGCAGAAATCTACAATTAAAACATCAGCAAGCATCAAAAATCTAAGAAGCAAGTTGGAAAAGTGATGATAAAATTAGTTTTAGAGTGTGCTAATAATCACCAAGGGTGAATAAATCAAACTGTCAGATATTAAATCACATAAGGTAATTAAGGCAGATTATGCAAATCCTACAGGAAAGTTAATTTGGTAAGGAAATCTATGCCCTGAAAGATTCAGGAAAGTGAATGGATCATATAAACATAGGATATTGTAAGTTAGATTTACCATGCCATTTGACATTAATGTGCTGAAAGAATCTGGAGAATTACATTGGAATATAGGCATTACAGGAATGTCCTTGATCCCCCATTTGGCCTCGATCTTTTCTTTGCTTCTTAAAAATGGTGATTACTTCAGAGATGAAGTCTTGTCAATTTCCATTGCCATAAACCCTAACGTAAAAAAGAATTTAAAAAAAAAATCAGAAACAGAAAAAGTGGAAGGTTAGAGAAGAAGATATATGGACAGAACAAAAATGGCAGAATTTGAGCAATTCTAATGAACAGTCTGAAAAAAGGAGTTTAATTAGCAACCAAACCCCGTAGTAATTACTTCAATTTAAACCCAATCAAATAAATCAAAACAATAACACAAAAATGTTGAGTATATTGGTAACTTAATTCTAATGATCAACCACAACATCCTATGTACTGTCAAAGTCAAAACTTAGCAAAAGGTACTCCACTATTTTCAAACAAGGAAAACCCTTCATCTCAAAATAACAAAACAAACTACAAGGAAAATAATAATCATCAACATCATCCCAATGATTCCAAAACTCTTAAAAACAATGCCATCATTAGATCGAAGCTACTGAGCATGCCGAGCATCTAAATCGTTTCCTTGTGAGTTGTGACATAAATACTGTATCTAATTAGGTTCCAGTATCAAAAAATCCTGTTTCATTCCCAAATACAACAGACTTCTAAGATGAAAAAAACAGTAATTGTAATTCCTAAAATATATAAGAAACTAATAAAACTCGCCCATCATCTTAAAAGCAAATAACAATGGAAGGCCTCGACTTTCAAGTCACTTGCATCGTATATGAGTGCTTTTCTATAGATCTCATGATATTATATGACTTCTTTATACAATGTCCATGTCTTTTTCAAGAGAATATAAGACCCAAATAATAAGAAAAATGTATACAAAGTCACTACATACACAAAGAAGATATTTTAGACATCAGATAATCAATTAACGGTCACATTAGTATTGATCAGAAACACCCACTGAATTTATTTATAAAAATTTCCAACAGGAATTGTGGAAACTGGAAAGCTTGAACAACGAGCCAACTTCAATTTGATAACAATGTTTGGCCAAGGGTTTGATTGAAAAATCAGCTTCAGCAAAGTCATCTTACATTTAAAGAAGCATTCAGAACAATCACAGTAACTTATACCAGCAAAGAATTTAAATCATCTGATATGTTTGGTTCATAAACTTGTAAAATACACAAAAAAAAAAAGGTGGGTTTTGGCTATTTGCCGGTGTTTCGCCATTGTTGTGGCAAGCCTGGGTTTGTGTTATTGACGTTTTTGGAGTTTTGCCATACGATTTCTCCTTGACTTTAATGCAGCAACATCATTGTGATTTACACAAGTTTCCAATGTTTGGCTTTAAAAAATATAGAAGATATAAGTCACTAAAATTACTCATTGTTGCAAAATTTTGCCATTATTCCATAACTTTAGAAACAAAAACAAAACCCACTATAAATCATAATTTCACCGGTGATAATATACAATTGGGGAATTAGGAGGAACACAAATACTGATTTAAAGTGCCATTACCAGCAGAAAAAATTGGAAATATGAAATGCAAAATGCAATTACTAGCATCATTAACGCCAATTTGGTAGCACACGCAACAATTAAATTAACGACAAACCCTAACTTATGAATTTGATATTCGATAATTGAAAATGAATAAAGAAAAAATTTACCTCGGATACGCTTCAATGAGGAGATAAGAGAATGGTCGGAATTCGAAATGCGCTTCAATGTAACACTTACTCACTTAACCCACTTCAATGGATGAATGAGAAACAATTCTTTATTAAAAAAAATAAAAATTTGCTAATAAGCGTTTGCGGCGTTAGATAACTACTTAGAACAAGATTAGCATAATCTTATCTTAATATCTCTTCATCTCTAAGACTCATTTTAGATTTCCTTAAAATATTTATCATTTTTTTTCCATTTAAAATATTATATTTTAATATTAAAATTCACATTAGTGTTACAAATTGCTAATCTTATTTAAATGTCATCGCTAAAAAATAATATAATTCATAAAAAATAATATAATTCATAAAAATAAATTATAATGGAATTACATGAAATTAAAATTTTTAAAATACATGAAAAAAATTTTTTAAAAAAAAAACACACACACATATTGCATTAAAATAGTTGTAAATGTAAATACTGACTAATGTAAAATTATTGATCTAAATTCAAATATCACTTTCCCACAAATAGTTGCTTACTTCACTTTTTAAAACTAATTTTTTTATATTATTAAAATTGTTTATACATAGTAACATGTTTATAAAATGAAGGTCCAAAATCCAAGGATGGGTATGGATGCTTTTCAGGTTTTTGAGTGAGTCTTGCTGCAGCTGGATGCATACACTTTATTTCCAAAAGAAAACTACAACCTACAATTACAATTTTTTTTATATAAATAAAATAATTAATGTTTTTAAAAATAAAAAAAGTTAATTAATTTTTTAATCAAAACGTTGTGTTTTGATGTGTATATAGGTAAAAACACCGTGTAAGTGTTAATTTGAGTCTTGAATTTTCAAAAATCCACTTGAGATTTTGTTAAAACCAAGCCACATAAATGCATACAAAAAAAATAAAGTCTAGTCCTAATACCACAAATTCAAAAATTGATGATGTCACCTAGAGTTTTAAGACCTAGGGCTAATCTTGCTCTTAATGTATTACTTAAAATAGTTATAAGTTCGGAATGCATGACAAAATCATGCGTTAATCGGTGTAATTAATATTAATTTTACTTTAATATTTTAAATTTTAGTTCTCTTATCTAACCCTGGGGACGCTCGTTAGCTTTTGCCTAAAAAAACAAAACAAAAAAAAGAAGAAAACAGCAATTCACACGTGTGAACCTCCACGCTCATATTTTTATAAAAGCCAATTTCCCGCCTATCTCATTCCTCTGTTTTTCTCTTCATTTCTTTTCTCCATTTCTCTGTTTTTCTCTCATTCTCTTTCCTCCATTTCTCTGTTTCTCTCTCTTCTCTTTTTTTTCCCTCTCATTCTCTCTCCCCCATTTTTCTGTTCCTCTTCTCTTATTTTCTCTCAATTTCTTTTCCATTTCTCTCTTCTCTCGTGTTATGGAGAATTCTCAACCTAATCGCGAGCTACATAACTTGAAGGAAAGAGTTGATTTCCTGAAATCAACTTTACTGAAAAACATCAATTCTGATATACGGCAGGTGAACTTCTTTTTTTTTTTTTTTTTTTTTTTTCTGGTCGTCATTTTTGATTTACAATTCTTTTGTCTTACTTTCTGCTTCTTTTTGTGATTTTGTAGGAACTAAACATGGAGGAAAACACTTCTGTTTCCGTTATTACCATCGTCAACAAAGTGGTGGGTCGTTATTCTTCGATTCACTACATCAATCACATCAAGATGCTTGAAGCTGAGATTAGAAGGTTCGTAGAAGACAACTCCGACCTTGCAAAACTTCTTCCTCGTCCTCCTCGCTGGTACAAGAGCCACTACTGTAGTGAGCTGCGGACGGCAGGGAAGTGCTTCAATCGGATGTAAATTCTCTCACGATTTGAACACTCAAGGTGATTTGTGTGATTTTAACTTCAATGGATGGAAATGTCTATTTTCAACTTGCCACCTCAGTCATTACAAGTGAGAGTGATCAGCTTGAACAGAATAGTGATCTGCATGAACATAATCTTCAACACGGTCAACCTTTGATTTTTTGTATTTTATTTTTTTTTAATTTTGCTGTAGTTTTTGTCGATTAAAAAAAATAAAAGAAAAAATATCAAATATAGAAAACGTGGTAAATTCGTCCGTTTTTTTTTTTTAAAAAAAAAAATAAAAAAGAAAAAAAATGTAATGTACATAAATAAATAAATAAATAAAGTTAAAAAAGCTTATCAATTTAGATAGTTAATGTAGATGTGATGTGTAATTTAGATAGTTAAAAAAGCTTTCCAACATTCTCTTTCTCATAACTCTATCATGGTATCACGAGCTTTTGATCCATCTTTTTTTGCTTTCGCTACTACCATGGCTACACTATCAAAACCCTTTGCTGACGCCGACAAATGATGGTGACCACACCAAACTTCCTTCTCGGAAAGCTTCAACCAAAATCACACTTTTTCGACCAACTCTTTTGACACCCCGTATTTCACATACCAAGAGATGTCAATTATCATTTTTTTTTCTCTAAATCCCTTATGGAGAAACAATCCCTGTTCGGCATCCCGTAGTTTATCTACCAAGTGTTGCCAAACATGAAATTCTCATTCCAAAACCATTATGGAGAAACATAACATTCTTTCCGTTCTAAACCACCATCAATACCATTACATTTTTTTCTATCTTGCCTTCAATAGTTGTGAAGGAATCCCTATATTTTTATTCTTCTCTCATACTTTGCAAGCACATGCTAGCAAAAATTCTTCATTTTAATTTTGCAGTTAATGGCTTTCGTGTTACAACAATCGTGAAAAACACCCATTAAGCAACTTCTTATTCTCTCTATATATTTTGTTTCTTAAAAAAAAATAAAAAATTCTTCATTTTAATTTTGCAGTTAATGGCTTCCGTGTTACAACAATCGTGAAAAACACCCATTAAGCAACTTCTTATTCTCTCTATATATTTTGTTTCTTAAAAAAAAAAAAAAAAAAAAAAAACTTTCAATCCTCAACTCTCTCCAAACCCTCCCAGAGAATTACAATACAACACAACCTTTCTCACCTACACTTCACTTCCTACATGAACAAGATTTCGATACTATATCCAAGATCAGTCTCTCGTTCCAAACGTCCGTCTTGCGGGGGCGTGTAAAGTATAATCATATCATTATTAGTTATTGTGTTACTTGTATAATCCCTTGATTTTACTCTTTAGGTTGATAGTCAAAGATATCCCTAACTATTGTCTAATGTACCTAGACATATACTCTAACGTATCTAGTCATAGCTTAAAGCTTACTTATGTATTATAAATACTCTTATATACTCTTCAATATAATCAAGCTTTCCAACATTCTGTTTCTCGTAACTCTATCAATTGATTCGTTCAATTTTTTTTTGTTTTTGTTTTTGTTTGAGTAATGATAGTTAATGTAGGTTCAGTTGCCTGAGTTTAATTCTAGTGGTGACAATCTGTTTGTCGTTGGAACTTAGAACAAGAATTTCACTTCCATACAACCGTTTTTGGTTTTTTATTTTATTTTATTTTAAGAGAATTGAGCGACATTAAGTTCACTTCTCTCATTGAGTCGTTGCGCAATCAGTCATTAGGAAAGTTATGGTTAGAATTCTATTTTGCTACTTGTAAATAATTGAGCGTGTGTAATTAGAATTAGTGTGGTGGCATGCGAGTTGAACAAAGTGAAGCAAAAAATCGACACTACGGAGAGTTCAGATGATGAGAAATTCTATGATGCTGTCCTTTCCAATGCTAAAGTTGATGGACAGAAAATTCGATAACGGTATTTCAAGGCATAGGGTACATGTATGCACCTCCATTGACCCCTGAAGGATTTTAGAACGTCGGATTTGATACTGAAACTTAGTATAATGTAATGTTTATATTGGTAAATATATTACACTTCAAAATTTGGAGATTGGATGCAATTTACTTATTCATGATCTAGCATGTATAGAACCATAGTTTCATTCTCAATTCTGCAATAATAGTCAATGAAAGCCTTTGATCTGCCTGTGCTCACTTTAGAGAAAAGTCTTTAAGGATGAACCCTGTTTCTAATTATTTGCCGCGACTTCTATGAAAATTCTGATCCGTGCCATGTGAGCCACTAACAATTGTTTTTAAAAAGGATAGGAATCATAAGATTAGCTATAATCAGTCGGCTCTGTAACCATGTCATGAGTTATTGGTTTCTAGCTCATTTTGATTTGTAAATTGCGTGATTTGGTCTATAGGTTCTGCATATATAATGTTTCATGGTTTTTTCTTAATTCGTCGTTGCATCAGCCCAACCCCTAAGGATTGATTTCACTATTATATATACCCTTGACAAAAAATAGTCACTTAACTCACCTCCAAAGTATATGAGACTGTTATTTACAGATGGAAGGAGCTTAAAATGTCTCCCGCGTCTTACATTGTATTGTGCCAATTTTACGAGTTAGCCCTTATTCCATCCATCATCAACAATGAAAGTTATTCTATTATAAAAGAGGGTCTGAATGGACTAGCCAGTTAGCCTACCGCATTCAGTTAGAGTAAAGGTGTGTCTTATAGTTCCTACAATCAATTTAACCAAGCTGTATCAAAGGAGATACTGACTACAAGTACATACAATGCTACAACACCAACCGGATCCTTTTTGGGCTAGAATTATAATATGTTGTGGCACCATGCATTATCTTTATTGAGCTTCAAGCTCATTCTAAACCAAATGTAAATAAGTAGAGTATTGCATAGAACTGTATATATTATTCATCTTCTCATCTTTCAATGTAAGAAAATTAGTCCCAAATAAGATGAAGCAAGTGAAAGGAAACGCTTGAAATTCTGAGGTAATTGATATTTGTAGCTAGATAAGAATAACTCACTTGTTCTAAAAAAAATGGACACCTTAAACCTTTATATGGAAAATAACAGTTGGACACAAATATATAAAATAAATAAATATGAATAGAGGCTATGATGAGAATGATTAGATACGAGATGCATCCGATGAATGAGGAGACTCAACCCACATGAATGGAGTTAGCTCACCAATTAGTGATGGACCTTGGTAATCAATCCGTCAAATTGTAGAAGCATATATCTTTGCAACCAGGTCCGGATCCGGTCCATAACCATGTTACATGATCATCAGTGTTATAGTGCAGTTAGGCTTAAAACCATGAGCAACAGATGCCTCAACAGAAAAAGAAGAGTTGGAACCTACGAAAACTGCTCTGTTTCCCAGGCTATTGACTTCCTCAACCCTGTTAAATTCACCATCCAGCTCAAGTACCTCAAATCTTGTGGTGTACGCCAACAGCCAGCCCTTGTACACTTGACAGATAGCCAACAATTGACCTACCGATTCAACCAAGTAATAATACCATAATTCATCATCTTCTCCAATAAATAAAGTAGTGATAGCTGTATAATATAGACTATCTTGGGAAATGTTAAATTTTACTACCTTTCCACGAAAGTTAACCCCGTAAAACTCTCCTTGATAAAAAGTTATGTCACGGCAAGGTGATTCAAGGAAACTTGATTCAAAATCAAAATCATCAGCGATCATTTGACCATCCTCTCTTATTGCAGGATCCACTATTGGGATCCAACTATCACTCCCATTCTTCCAATAAAGTAGCATTGCTGGAATCTTCCTTTGTACAAAAAGAAAGCCCTCCAAAGAAAGGAAGACAATGAAGTCTGAGGTGATTGAGGGGTTGGCTGACAAGATGAATTTATCAGGCCGCCTTCTGATAACCTGGTGCACTTCGTAATAGAAGCTAAATTTGGGAAGTTGTATGACAGCACCCGAGTAGGGGTTGAAGAGAGCGAGCTTATTTCTTTCTAAGGTCAAAAGCAACCACCCATATGAAGATAACAACCTTTTTGTGTCATTGTCTAGTAAGGTATTTGGGAGATTGATGTGGCGAACCAGTTAATCTCTGTTACTCACTAACGTTTCTCACAGTGGCAGTTTCGTAAATAAAATGTACCACCGTGACTAAAGTGGTGCAATTTTATCATCCATTTCGTAAATAAAATGTACCACCGTGACTAAAGTGGTACATTTTATTTACGAAACTATCACTGTGAGAAACAAAAACGTTTCTCACAGTGAGTAATGGGGGCGCCCCCATGGCGAACCTTGTAGTTGCAAAGGCTATACAGACAGCAGGTCCTAGACGAGCTGTCTCTCTTGGGTAACATCAACCACGGGAGTGTATGCTAATTGTTGGCTTGGAATTTTGCCTCCTTAGCGGCTGATCTCCAAGACGAACAAACCCATTTCAAGGTCTCAAAATCTGATAAAAAGACATAAAACCTGCAATCTTAATGATAACATCTTTTGGCAAATTAGTCCAATCAGCCATGTTAATACTGAGGGAAGCAAGATTACCGAAACAAGTTTAACTTGACGCACAATTTCAGTCAAATTACAAGAATGAATAGCAGCTTGCTGAGTGGCAGTGTCGGGGTTGATCAAGGTTCGTTTTAATTGAAGTAATGCAGCATTTAAAGTACAAGTATCAAAACGATGCTCAAGATCACTAGTCCATAAACCAGACGTGTTAACCAAATGTTGTACTTTAGCAAGAACATCTCGCGAAAGCTGTTGGGTGCGCGTCCAGTGAGCATACGACGGATTCTGATATTGATGGCCGTGTTGATCAAGAAGGTATAAAGGGGGTGGAGACATGGAGTGTCCATCAACAAACCCGACAAGTCGTTGAAGAGTAAGCAACCATGACAGATAATCACCAACTTTTGTACCCTGCTCTAGAGTTTCAGTATCAAACACTCCAATTTCATACTTCCGTCCTACCATTACAAGGGTTCTGTTGAAGTAGAGAAAGGTCGGAGAAAACGGCTTAGCCTTTGTATTGATATTAACGACATATATATACGAACGTTTTTCCAATTTGAGCTCTAAACGTAAACTAATGACAAAAATGGTTGCGTGGCAAAACTATTTACCAAACTAAGCTTCCAGGGTAAATCGCTGTCTCGGACAGCGTTTTACCCCTGGTTTTTTTTTTAAAAAAAAAATTCAACTACAACTATTTTATATGTTCAACATAAAGCGCTGTCTCAGACAGCGCTTTATGCTTGAACATAAAACGCTGTCTCAGACAGCGCTTTATGCTTGAACATAAAGCGCTGTCTGAGACAGCGCTTTTCTGCTGGAAACAGCAACCAGCATCCAGGCAGAAAACAAGCTTCAGCAAACAGCTTGCATGCTGCAGTCCTCCAACAGCCACCACAACAGCCAGCTCCACAGCCCTACCCCACCACCGTCGACCACCAACTCCGCCACTCCCCACCACGTACCACCACCATATTCTGGGAGTTCCGTCAACTTTAAGCACTACAGAAAACTCGAAACAGCCCAACAACAGTCCAACCACCAAATTAACTTCAAAGCACACACGGAGTCATTCAAAAAAGATTTATTATATTAATTTCATAAGTGTTATGTACATCATTACACAAAATAACAGGGAATACAACAGATAATACTAGCCCGACTCATTTATTCGGGGTAAAGGTCCTGCCTCCTGAGTGTCGGCCCTCCGTCTGACACGTCGCCGCCTGTAATGAGTGACGGTGGTGAATGGGTCTCGGGGCGGTGGGGGAGTCAGCTGACTGGACGAGGGGTCCTCCTGGGTACCAGAGGGCGCAGTACTGTGGATGTTGTAATCCTCTGCGTGTCTGGGTGACGTAGGATCACATCCACCGCTGCTCTGGCCGAGATCGAACTGTGAGTTGCCATCATGACCGTCCCGCCGGTGGGCGAGATGAGCGTGACCATATCTCCGTAAGGTAGCGACGCCCATATCTCGCACCTGCTCGACCTGGGCTCTAGTGGGTCCGCACTCAAGGGAGACTGATAGCGCATCAACCATCGCCACCATATCCGCCGCCTGCAGTAATCATCGATCAGTCAGATCTATGGCATACAAATATGGAAATTGTTGAAAAGGAGTAGAAAAATAATAACTCACATATCCGCTAATGATGTCATATGCTGGATGGTAATGTGTGGATGGTGGTGCGTAGCTGGGGTTGATGAAGCGTCGTGTGATACGCCTGTACCACACCATGTACGGATCGTCGGGATCCATAGCCCCCTGCATTAGATCACCTCCAACGATGAACTCCAACCGTTGCTCCCATAGCTGAAGGAAACGCCAATGCTCCAGCGCCCAGCTGGTCTCCCCCTTTCCCCGACGATCAATGCCGTGAAGCTGTACACTAGTGTCACACCCCTGTGGGATAGTCTGGCGTAGTCCAAACTGCCTCATGACTCGGTCGGGCAGGTGACTCTCCACAACCTCGAAACAGATCAGGGGGACCCTAGCACGCCACTCCGCCTGATGGTCTAGCAGATGTGGAGGCATGGCATCTACCAAGTCAGGTACATACGGGTCCCATGTCACCTGTAAATACACATCAACAGTAATATTATGAATATGTTAGTTCGCAACAAGTACAATGTTAAAACAAAAAAGCTAAAACTGTATTTTAAATTGTTACCTGGTCCTCGGTGAGTCGGTCTAGGGCGTCTCGGTAATACGGAAGACCCCTCGCCGCATGAGCATGTGTCAGCCTGGGTACCACCCACCTAATATCGAACAATGTTTCAGTTAACAACCCCGCGCATTAAATAAAGCCTAACTCAATGAAAGTTGTATCGAACCTGCAACCATATGCCTCATCCGGTGTAGGGAGCGGGGGAGCATCGTACGCCTGGTACTGGTCGTCCTGGTCCTGCTCCCCCCGACGGTGTATCGCAGGTCTGCCTGGTCTGCCTACATGGATATGCTCCCAAGCCCAGAACTGGCACACAGAGACACAAAACTAGCTTCAGTATGAAATATGTAAGTGCGTGGTGAAATAGTTTTTTTGGTACAGAAATAAGTGAGGTACCTGGAGGACAATCAGGGGACCTCCAATCTCGTTAGCACCTACGTGGGATGCTCTGCACAGCTGGCGATACAACGTCGCCAGACAGGCGCTACCCCAGCTGTAGCCTCGGATATGATCCCAGTCGTGGTCCAACAGCTGCACGTAAATGAGCTGGAGATGGCTCCCGCTCTTATTCCCGAACAACACGCCCGAGATGAGGAAGAACAAGTACGCCCGGGCGTATCTCTGAACCTGGGCGTCATCAGCCCCTGGTGGTAGCTCACGGAAAGTCTCACGGACCCAGCCGGTCCTCAACCCGGATCCCCTAATATCGGCGGGACCTGGCTGGACACCAAGTACCCGACCAACCAAACCGACGGGATCGACTAACGCGTGTCCTGTCACCGCAGACCCATGTACTGGAAGGCGCGTAAGAATCGCCACGTCCCGTAACGTAACGGTCGTCTCACCAACAGGTAGGTGGAAGGAGTGCGTCTCCTGTCTCCACCTCTCCGCGAGCGCAGTGACAAGCGCTCGATCGATCTCCCTATACGCCATACGGTGAAAACCACCTAAACCGACAAACTCGACGTACGCCAAAACGCGAGGATCGATTCCCCACCCCACCATGAACCTGGTGGTGTAATGCCTGCAAACGAGCTGCTTTGCCGGATCAACCTGTTAGAAAGAAATTAAGATCATATACCATATAAACTCAACAAGCTGTAGTCCATGAACAAACAAATGCAATATTACCGTCTGATCCCATACGGCAACGCTGCGGTGTGTGCCCTGTAGTGTAAGCACAGAAGGGTCAACGGGTCCAGGCGTACGATCTTCACCGTCCATCGTATCTGTTCACATGCAATTTAACAAATCCCAACAGAGTTAACGCATTAGCAATTAACCAAAATGTTAACGATCAAATGTTCCAAATGTTATTAAATCAAAATGTTCCAAATGTTATTAAATCAAAATTTTCTATTACAAAATAATTCCTCCATCTACGATTACAACGAATTTCAGTTAACAGTCATGGGTCCTCTGAGGGTCTCGATGGACACGTTGCCCGGTTATGGCCCTGAACGTGACAACGACTACATTTGCTCGCGGGCCGGTTAGTCTCATCCATTTCATTACGTATGCGCTTTGACCTTGGTCGCCCTATTCCACGCAACATGCTCCCGTCGGGAATGATTCTAGGACCGTTATAGGGCGTCCAGGTTGTCTCGCAAGGGATTGGCCAGAATTGCGGCGCGTATGTGCTCGTGTATGCCTCCGATTGCAGCACCGGGTCAACCCACGGCCGCTCTGATAGTGAGTACGTTGCACATACGGCTAGAACGTGAGAACATGGGAGGTGAAATATCGTAGGTTTGTTGCAGGTACACGTTCTTAACTGAAAGTTAACAGTATGTTTATGGCCTCCTTTACTACCAAGTCGGTCTCCCCTTTCTGTTGTAACTTGGTAAATATGCAATCGACGGTTATACGCATCCACTCTGTGATATCTGGCTTTTGCGGTGTTCTTCTCTAGAATGGCAGTGACCTTGGGGGGGGTATGCAAGTCCCTGTTCAAATCTTGCCTCAGAAGACTCCCTTCTCAAAGTGAAATATTTGTTAACTCTATGAAAAGTTAACTCGACTAGGGACATGATCGGTAGAAACCGTGCTCCCTTCAACACGTTGTTGAATGTCTCAGAGAAGTTAGTAGTGCAAATCCCGTATCTACGTCCAGCGTCGTGAAAGAGGGACCACATGGTGAACGGAATTTGAACTCGACTAGGGACATGATCAGTGGACAGTACTTCCGTGACACAGTTCTCCCGGTGCGGGCCTTTGTATGTGACTAGGGCGAAGCCACGCGAGTGCTCACTAGATTTGGTACCCCGTAGCATCCAACCACATTTTTTCTTGCACCGCAAATGAAGCACACTCTCATTCGATGTAATTGTGGTGTAGAACTGATTCCTCTGTATGGAATACATCTTCACCATTTCTTGGAGCACTTTCTTACTTTCGAACCACATCCCCTTCTCAAATTCCCCCCCGGAACAAACGACGTATGACTACCCGATTCGGCCCAATCCTGATCAACTTCGTAGTTCTCGTTCACCTGACTGAACCAAGGAATGGGAGTTCTAACCAGGGGCTCGCCCACTTCCATCCGAGCAGGTTCTACATCCATGTTCTGAAGTCCATCTTCCTCCTCTCCGCTATCGGCCTCATCATTTGTGTACACATCATACACAGAAAGTTCGTTATTCACATGCTTATTCGTAGAAACCGGTAACACTTGAACCCCATTGCCGGTCTCAAACCTCATTTTAATGTGTACGTCAACGGTCATCGGGTCTGAACCAATACTACTATGAACCTCATTCATCAAATCATTCATAGTCATGTTCGGTTCTAGTGTTAGTGGTTCCATATTTCCCCCACTATACTCGACCCGGGGTCCATCAAACAGAATTTCTCCTCCCCACCGGCATAACAAAACTACATTTTGTGACGCCATATTCTACATAACCAAAACACATTTTAGGATTATCGAAATCTAGAGCGAGGTAAATTATCAACACTGAAATAAGACTCTTCTCACCTATAACAACTTCACTTTCAACAACTTCACCAATTTCAACAATTTCATGAACAATTTGAATTATTTCAACAATTTCAACCTAAACTATTTCAATAATTTCAACAATTTCATCTCTTCTCACCAATTTCAACCATTAACAACTTCAACATTTTCACCATCATCAACTTCACCAATGTCATGAACAATTTCAATAACAATGTACCACATCACCATCAATAATTATCAACAATGTACCACATTTTCATTAATAATTAGCAACAATTACATGCAATTGACATGAATTAACAACAAGTAAGAGCAATTACATACAATTCACAATAATTAACCACAATAACTATGCAATTACACTAAATTCAGTTTAGGGCTAACCACGAAATTGAGTGAGTGAGTGTGAGAGGGAGGAGGGCAGCAGCAAGGTGGCGGCAGCAGCGGTGGCGCAAGGGTGGGCGGCGGCGGCAATGCGGGTGTTTGAGTACGGTCGTGGTTTAGTGTGAGAGGGAGGAGGGAAAGCGTTGAGGTTGAGGTTGAGTTCTTGCGCATTCTGCTGAAGTGAACATGCTGATATATGGCCATGAAACGCTGTCCCGGACAGCGTTTCATTTAAAAAAAAAAACAGGGCATAAAACGCTGTCTCGGACAGCGTTTTACCCATTGAATTTTTTTTAAAAAAAACCCAAGGATAAAACGCTGTCCGAGACAGCGTTTTATGCCCTACTGAATTTAAAAAAATACAGAAGGTAAAACGCTGTCTGGGACAACGTTTACCAGTTGAATTTTTTTTTAAAAAAAAACCAGGGGTAAAACGCTGTCCGAGACAGCGATTTACCCTGGAAGCTTAGTTTGGTAAATAGTTTTGCCACGCAACCATTTTTGTCAATAGTTTACGTTTAGAGCTCAAATTGGAAAAACGTTCTATATATACAATACACAAAATAAGACCCAACTTGCCTAAAACTCTTAACAAGATAAACTTGACAAATATACAATATTAAACATATAAAACCAACCGACTTCTAACCGGTTCTGCTTCTGCAACACATTATTTACCAACCAAATTTCATTCAATTACCAATTTTTATAGTAATTATAACCAATAATTCAACAGCAGACTCTAGAGCAGCCATAAATTGACTTGTGAGATTGATACTGATAACTAAATTAACGGTAATTAATTATACTGATAATTTAAATCAACGATAAAACTGTGAAATTGATATTCGATGATTACAAAAAGAAACAACATCTTACCTCAGAAAGCTCTTCAATGGAGTATACAAATACTGAAATATCACAAGTCGGAGAGGAGGAGGACAGATATTCGATGATTACAAAATCGTATATCTATTTTTCCTAATATTTATAATCGTATCTAATACCCCCATGATTATAATTATGGAGTAATGAGTAATGACTTTCCAAATAATGGACATAATTAAGGGCAAAAATCGTTTTTACAATTATTAATATGGAAGCAAATAAATGGTATCTTATAGTAATTTCATACGGAGTATTAACCTTCCATATATTACAAAAAAAAAAAAAAAAAAAAAAAAAAAAATAATAATAATAATAATAATAATTGAAATTTAGGGAAGTAAAATTGTGCAACAAATTGATATTTCTTCCATATTTAATAAGTGTTACACTTTAACTGATCGGTACATAATTTTAGGCAATTTAATTGACTTAGATAAAGTAAGAGGTAAGTGGAGTAGTTAGATTTTATTAAAAAAATTATAAAAGAAAGATAATGGGGTTAATAATTTATTGAAAAGTAATAACGAATATAAGAGGAAAGGGGGTCATGAAAGGAGAAAGATATACTTCGTGATATTATAATGTAGCTTTTTGCCAAAAAGAAAGTGTAACACTTATTAAAACACGGCCGCATAGTAGGGCTAAGCAAAATTATCCGAAAAATCGAAAATTCGACCCGTAACCGAAAATTAGGGTACCCGTTCCGATAAACATGAAGGTTCAGGTACTCGATCCGATAATTTGTTATCGGGTACGATTATCAGGTATCATTTTGAAATTAACGGATACCCGATCTGATCCGATAAGCAATTTTTTCTTTTTTTCCTACATAAATCTATTTATCCAAAATCTAAACTCTTACTTTACTTCATAATCACTTCATAATTTAAATGATTAGTAATGTTATTAGTAATTTAGTGATGATCATGTTGTATTATTGTTAATTAGTGTTGAATGATATCATAAAAACTAAATTATAAAGTCTAAATTTTCATTATTGGATATCATATTGGGTACCCCAATAACCGATCCGAAAATCCGGGTACCAGAAGTTCAAAGTTCGGGTACCCGAACTTATTGGTTCGGTTAATGGAGATCATTTTTAGTGTTATTGGTTATCGGGTACCTGAACCGATAGTGTTAACGGTACGGGTACCCGACCCATACTCACTCCTACCGTATAGCACTAATTGAAATACGGAGGGATTATGCGTCATATTTATTCAAAGCCAAAAATCAAATCATTAAAAAAATAATAATAAATTCTAGTGACCCTCTAATATTGCGTTTTGCTCCTCCTTTTAGAAGTTATACATTATCGTAACTAGTAACTCTACAGTGACCTTGCTATTAACGGAGTTACGCTTTTTATTTCAATCACCGTCGGTGGGGCCCACTCTCCACCTATTAATTTTTTTCTCAATTTATGTGATAATTTATTTTATTTTTTGTAGGTAGGGTCATTTCAAGCCAAGACTTTAGTCAAACTCGGATCGAGAGATTTTTTGTTATTATTATATTACTGTGATTGTTATTGTTATAATTGAAAATTTGTTAGGGTAAATATCATTGTTCTGTTTCTTAGCTTTGTTATTGTTTAATTTGGAGAATTATCAATCTTAATTGGTTCGATTTTATTCTTTTTTTGAGTGGTATCAATCTCGGAGTATTATCGTTATGTCCAATTTGTTTTTGTTTTTTGTTTGTTGATTTTTTTTTGAATAGTGTTTGTTGATTTTTTTATGCCTTAATTTTGAGTTTTTATTATTTGAGTTTTGGTATATATATATATATGTAGCATTATTTAAAGTAGTAAGATGTAATTATTGAAATTATAGAAAATTCTAGATGAATTGAAGAACTTCTTGTAGCTAAATCTCTAGAGTTTCTTTAAAAAAAAATTAAAAGCAGAAACCGCTAATTGAAGTATGAAAAAACTGAAAATCGCTAATTGAAGTATGAAAACCGCTACTTGAAGTAACTCAGTTTTAAAAATCGCTGAATCAATTAAAAAAAGGATTTTTCTACACATACTTGTGGACATTAAAGTAGAAATTTATTCAAAAAACAGTTGTACTTTGATAATTGGATCTTTTGTGGTATTATTTAGGGAAAGCATAAAATAAGGTAAATATTGTAAATCATAAAATAAGGTAAATATTTTCCTATATCAATGCATGTGTTCACATGTGCAACTTTTTTAATATATAACAAAAAAAAAATTCTGTAATTTTCTTCTCGATTCGCTAAGGGGTCGTTTGGTTCATCAAAGGAAAAGGGAATGACTTAAAACCAAGGGAAAGGAAAAGAATGGAATGTAATTCCCTTTGTTTTGCAATGTTGTTTGTTTTATACAATAAAGAAATCACAACCACCACAAAACTACCAATTCACTTTTTTTTCTCCGACCACTATGAATATCTCAACAACCTAGTCACCCACTACAACCCACTGCCACCCCTCTCCCTACCCACAAAAACCTAGCCCTCGAGAGAGCTCAGCAATGGCTGCACAATTGACAACAACGCCATCATACCACTATACAATTAATTACTATCATCAATTGACTGAAAATGCGCGTGGAGGAGGAAGTTCGGCGGCGAAAGCTTTTCTGACAAGGGGAGAGAGATCTTAGCCGTTGCAGATGGCGAAGGAGAGGAGCTTTTAGGGTTTTCAGTGGGGAAGAAGAGGGGTTTCGGGATAAAGTGGGGCGGTGAGGGGTTGCGGTAGGGTGGCTAGGTGGTTCAGTGGTGGGGAATATTGCACCTAGGGTGTTCGGCTGGGCGTTTCACGGGGAGAGAGGAGGGTTTTTTTAGGTTTTTGCAGGGACGACAAGCATTTCGGGGGAGGGGAGGGATGGCGAGGGTGGGGGAGGGGCGGTGAAAGGTGGGGGATAGATGGTGATGCGGTGGAGGCGGCTAAGGAATGGGAATGAAAATACCTAAGGGGGGTGGGGAATCAACTTAGAAGGATTTGGGGGAATGAAGAGGATAAAGGGAATGGGAAAAAGACCTAACAAACGACAACAAAGGGAATGAGGGCAGTTGATTCTCATTCCCTTTGATGAATACCCCCAACCAAACGACCCCTAAATCCCCCTTTACTAACATAAACTACGTAATAAACTATAGGAAACTATATTACTATAAGCATGAAATGCATAAGGGTTAGAACATTATTAATATATAGGGTTACTATATATTACTATTGTAACATAAACTTCGTATTACTATAGATTCCGGAAAACTTCTTAAATTGGAATGTGTATCATATGAATACATATATAGGGTTACAAGACTAGTCCTAATCACGTTAGAAAACTAGTATGATAAGTATACAAAATATATAAAAAATATATCCTAAATCTATGACAAATATTATAACAATATAATATCTATCAGTTGTATGCCTTTGCAGATCATTAAGATCACTATAAACAGCAACTTTTGTGTGTGTTTGGCAGGGGTGAAGCCATGATATGGGAACTCCTGACTAACCGAGTGAATAACCCCTGACTGAGTAAGTAACCCCTGACTGACCGAGTGAGTAACCCCTGACCGAGTGAGTAACCCTAACCAAGTACCCATGATTGATCGAGTAACCACTGACCGAGTGAGTAACCCCTAACTGATCGAGTAACCACTGACCGAGTAACTCCTGACTAAGTAACCCCGACTTTAAAAAAACAAAAAAAATTGTGGCTGGCCACACCGTGTGGCTAGCCACATATAAAAGTTTGTGTAAAGGTAAAGGGAACACTACCTTAAAAGAACTTAAATTATTCAGCAACTTTTGTGTGTGGCCAACTAACGCATGAGTAACCTCTGATCAAATAACCTTGAATGACCGAGTAACCCCTGACCAAATAAGTAAGTAACCCCTGACCGAGTAACCCCTAACCAAGTAGCCCCTAACTGATTGAGTAACCCCTGAGCAAATAAGTAAGTAACCCACCCCTAACAAAGTAACTTCTAACCGACCGAATAACCTCTGATCAACCAAGTAACCCCTGACCAAATAACCCCATGATTGAGTAACCCCTGACCAAGTAACTCCGACCATTTTTTTTTAAAAAAAATATGGCTGGCCACAAGGTATGACCAGCTACATATGAAAGTTTGTGCACTATAAAAACTTATTATTTTCATCTGTAGTTGAGTCAAGTTATAAGACTTGTTTGACTTGATTTTAGATTTGGTATGAGTCAAATAACCATTAGTTTTATTGTCAATATATACATATTAATAAATAATCACTACGCAACACATGCATATCAGGTCAAAACTAATCAAAATTGTTCCAAGTGATTTCAAGTATGTAGAGTATGAGATTGATAATTTAATGCGAGTACTCAGTGCAAAACATAGAAAATATCATTATAGTATAAGTTTTGATAATGTAGTTGGTTGCACTCTTGAATTATTGATACAAACATCAGTAAATACCTTAAAATGTGATTCTAAATAAGAGCAACAAAATTTTTAAACTCTTTAGTAAAGGTGGCGAACCCTTGAACATTTACGTAACCAACATAGATTGATATACTCGAAAGTAGGAAGGCATGGGATAGGTGGCATTAAAAACCAAGCTAGTTTCATTGTAGCTTTTATTTTAACGATGCATATATAATCTCTTGCTAATGTCAATCAGTCAATGCTTTTATTTTAACCTTGCATTTATAATCTCTTGTTAAGCTTTTATTTTGACATTATAAAATACAGTAATTTTCTTCATGATCCACCAAACCCTCCCTAATAACTTGATTGTTAAACTCATAAATTAATAAACTGTAATATCATTGTAGGCGTCAACTCACATAAGGTTAAAATATTCTTTTTTAAATAATTAATAGGGTTATATAAGAAAATCATGATGATAGATATTAATATAATGCAAAATAAGTTTCTTGTGGTCAATTTTTTTGTCCTTTGTGCTTAGAAAATATATTATTGTCTTTTATTTTATTAACAAGTAGTTGGATGATTGGTCTTCATTTAATAAAACACCACTAATTTATGTTCTATTTCACACATGACATGCATGATCCAAGCATATTATATTTGTGGAAATTATTAATCCAGATTATTGTTCCCTAAGCTAGTGAATTCCAGCTTTATCTGCTTTATTTTGCATTGTTAGAAATAATGCTGGCAAGTCCATAAATACAATAATTTATGTGATAAATAAGAAATACTTCAACGTTTATAAAATTACAAGAAAAATTGCTAAGAGTAATTTCATCGTAATAGGATGTGGCTTTAAACTTTATGACTATTTTTTTTTTTTTTTACGAAAACTAAACTGAATAGTTTGACTTATAAAAAGAGTGAAACATATTTTTATTATCACAATTGTAAAGCATATAACATCCTTGATCAAACAATAACACAATGTATGATAATGTTGTACTCAATGTGTGTCAAGTGACTCAAGTCCTTATCATGGT